GCTGCGTCGATGAATAAGGAATAAATTCAAAATTTCTTTCGGAAAATTAGTGAGAGATGCTAGCAACAAACTTTTGTTGTTGATGGAATATATTAATTGTATGATTAGCAACGTTTTCCTTATATTGTTAGAAGCGCTTGCAAGTTCCTAGATGAAGTTTATATATATATATATATATATATACAGTACGTAAGTTGGTTAAACAAATCAATATGGAGTGAATGCCTTGAGTTTGATTTGTTCTTCTGCTTCACCTACTTCCTGCAGGCGTGAATTGATTATTTACAATTATAACTACTTTAATTTATGATTTCGATTTGATTGAAAACTTGATTTGAACTTATTTTATTTCTTAATTTTATTTATTTGATTTTGCGTGGCAAATTATCACATTCGCTTTGATTTATGTTAAATTATTTTTAATCTTTATTTTTTTATTATTTATTCTGAGTTTTATATAATTGTTTTTGTTGAATTGTTATTTAAACTGTTATTCTTAACAATAAATTGCTAGGAGAATCGACGGTACAGTTTTGATCATATTCACTTTGTGAGAATTGTTGGTATTTTTATTTTTAATTTTTTTTTTCATTTGAATGCCGTAGACAGTAAGCTGGCGCACGTTTTACCATTTTAAGCGCTTTTACATACATACGTACACAGGAGAATTTTCGAGGGATGTTTCTATCAGGAATATTAAAAAAATCACAGAGAAAGAATTTTTGTTATAGTCCATGCTATTATGGTTGCTTTTGTTTTCTTTGTAAGTAAATTTATTTATTTTTACTCTTTTCTATTGTTAAGTTTTAGCTTCATTTATATTTGTGGTTGTGCTTGTTGTCTCTGTCGTCTTGGTTGTTCCAGTTATTGTTGGAATAGTAGATTTTTGCGCAATTATATTTTCATTTGAGTTTTTTCTATAGTTTATATGACTTTCTGCTGTGGTTGTTGTGACTGTTGTTTTCGATGTAGTTGGAAGAGGAGCAATAAACGTTGTTGTAGTAGCAGCAGAAGTTTCATAGTCGTAGTTAACCTTCGTGGAAATATACAATTTCATACATAAAGTAAATAAAAATGTACACAGTAAATGAAGAGAAAAGTAGTGGGTACATGAAATTTCAACGGTAATAGTTTGCAATTATGACTTCAGCAGTATACCAGTGTACCTGCCGATAGCTGCAGTGGTAGCCTTTTCTTCCATCTTCAGTTGTTGTTCCTATGCTTAACTCTATGTTTAGTCACTTATACATACATACATATATTTATATTTTTCGTATCTACATAATTATATGTACAAAACTAAATCTGCGCTTTTGTGTATACTCAGATGTGAAAGGCGTATAGATATGTACGTATGATTGTGTTAGTTATGAATTTAAATCAGTAAATGCTGCTAGCACAACTGAACTTTCTGCCACTCTGTGTTCATATAAAATTTGAGAGTTGGCTGCCTGTTTGCATATATTTATTAGGAAACTGCAAGATGGAATTCATAAAAAATTCATTTTTTAATCTGCCTAAACAATTTACATGCCCCACGTTCTCCTACGAGTATAAATTAGCTGAATATATTTTGTACCTAATTTTTTTTCTATTTACAAACCACCCGATTCTATTATATCCAAATTCTAACCTTCAAACTGGATTGCCAATTGCATCAATGATATAAAAAGGTTTTTGCTTTTGGATAAAAAATCGTCTTCCAGTTAATTCTTTTTGCCGAAATCGTTTTCTACTGTAAAAAATATATATTTTGCAATTTTGTTGAATTTTTTTTTTACCAGTGTCAACGTTTTTCTATGATGACCTCAGTATATTGAAAATGTAACTAAAAGCTTTCAAATGGATTGATAATTCTGACTTTATAGGAAGATCTTGCAGAGTTCGTCAGTTAAATGAGGAATTTTTTTTTTGTAAATATTTGTGTTTTTGATGAGTTTTTCAAGGATGTATTTTTTGAGCGAAACAATGAAAATTTAAGGAGCAAAATTTCCATTTTTTCGTGCATTTTATGTGTGCTATATTCATAATTCAATATATAACAAAACTGTCTATCTTGACTTGTGCCGAAAATTGTTTACCTTTCATGAACATATGAGTGACATTCTTATATGCGATAGAGGAATTCAAAAAATAAAAACCCATATTTGACTGGTTTAGGACTAACAATGATTCGGAGTGAACTGTTTTTATCACACATCTACCGTAAATGTGATACAAATACATGTTGATATAATGTCATATTCCCGTAATTAAAAAGTAAGTTTGACCAAAAATCATTATCATATCAATTTATCATTCTTATCTTTCCAAAAGGGGATCAGTTATCGTTCGAGGAATATAAAAATACTTGATTGAATTAAATGTTCATGAAAGGTACAAATAATTACGACGAAATTCCAATTAAAAAATGTTTTAACTAATTTAATAAAAAAAAGAGAAGATAAAAATTATGTACATATAAAAACGCCCAGCAAAGTTGATAGTTTTTGGCTTTACCGGTTCCTTGGTACCGATACAAGTAAAAACATACATACACTTTACAACCTACAACTTAATACTTATAAAACGTAGTAATATTGCACTTTACCAGAAGATAAAACATAAAAATTAAAAAATTAATTAAAGGAGTATAGGAATACAATAGTTTAAAAATAAACAGACCAACTTTAATACAGACACTGCTTTGCTTGCTCTCGAGATTATCACTGTAGTATATTTTCATTAAAAACTGTCAGCAAGTTTATTTGATTAATTATGTGTAAAGTAAGGAGACTATCTTTGTAGTAAAACCAGAATAATCGAAGACTTTTTTGTCATCGAATTTCGAAAGCTGGGTAACAGTGAAATACGCTTATGGGTATTCAACCAATATACTCGTATTTCACAGCATATTAAAGATTGAGCGTTCAATTATAATATTACTCGATGTATGTACCACACTTCATACATAAGAGATTGCTTTAAAATGACTTAATCAAAGAAACACATGGAAGACATGATAAAGATATGTACGTATTTAGAAACATAAAACCAAGGCTCAATACTGAGATGATCACGGAAATGATGCTGAACCTGATGGCAATGATATTTATAATGTCGCTGATAATGATAGAAAATGAAGCAAGAGAATTTAGTGGCTTATGTTACTGCCCTTTGGCAGATACGAATGTATGCATATGTGAATGTGTTCTTCTATTTGTAAACTAAATTACGTCTATGCTCCTGACATTTGTGGTGCATTTATTCGTACAATATGAAAAGGTACATACTTATATTCGAACTATAAAACTTAGAAAAACGAATGTTCAATAAAGCGTTAACATTAAATCAGTTAAAACAATATAAAAAAATAAAATCAAAAAATTAAATAAAAAGAATATAATTAAATATTTAAAAACAAAATAAAATAAAATAAACTAAATTAAAATCAAATATAAACATAAAAAATAAAATGAATAAAATAAAAAAGAAAAATAAAATAAAATAAAATAAAATCAAAAAAAAAATAAAATAAAATAAAATAAAACAAAATAAAATAAAATAAAATAAAATAAAATAAAATAAAATAAAATAAAATAAAATAAAATAAAATAAAATAAAATAAAATAAAATAAAATAAAATAAAATAAAATAAAATAAAATAATATAAAATAAAATAATATAAAATAAAATAAAATGAAATTAAATAAAATAAAATAAAATAACATAAAACAAAATAAAATAAAATAAAATAAAATAAAGGAAAAAAATAAAATAAAATATTTTATAAAAATAAAACAAAATAAAATGGAATAAAATAAAATCAAATAAAATAAATAAAACTAATGTAATGTAATATAATCTACTTTATGTAAGTTCAAATAAAATAAAATAATCAAAATAAAATAAACTGAAGTTAAGCAAAATAAAACATATAAAGTAAAGTAGCTAAATAACAAGTTTATTTATATCATTATAGAAACAAGAATATAAAAATAAAACGAAATAAACTTAACTCGTAATTAAATTATTAAATTTACATATTGAAAATAATTCGAGAATATTTCCCATAATATTTTGTTCCGTTATTACCATTTACGTTGGTTACGTCGTTGGAATAGTTTTTAAAAAATACCGCATAGAATTTTGCGTATAAAGAATTGACTATATTAATAGTTATTTCCGTAGATGATCCTACCTGCAACATTATTCTCAAAAATATTGATATCAAAAAGTTGAAAATACATTTTATTTTGTGCTAAATAGGTTTTTAAATGGATGGAATAAAATGATTGTACTCTTTTTGTCTTATTAGGTACGTTCGCTCGCTCACTCGCTCGGATTTTCAATTAAATTATTCTTTACAGCAATTTTTTCTTTATAGTCCTACTTCCATTATCGTTTACAAAGTAATTAGATAAAGACATTAAAGGCATGTTTCTGTTGTTCTTAAAAAATTAGTTCAAAGCAAAGTTATATATGTTGGTAACTTCATGTTTTCATTATCGCTTTTTTGTTAATTATTCCAAATGTATACCTTTAATGTCCTTTTTATAAACTCTATTTATTTAAGGCTTAGTGACTAATTCCAAACAGTATCATAAAATAACCATTAATTTTTCAATTTTTATATTAGAAAAAAAAATGATTAACTCTAAATACTTTACATAATGAATAATAATATCTTTGGTGTACTCTTTTTTGTTTCATTTTACTCCTGCAACGTGGTAGATGGAGGCTAAATAACTAAAAATTTTAGCTCGCCTCGTAGTTAGTTATCATTGCGATTTGTTCATAATTGTACATATATACATATACATATATCGTAAATATGTATGACAATGTTTTAGATTTTGGTTATATATAAATAATGTTATTTTAATTTGAGTTGGTTGAGGTTATGGGATTTTTATTGATTTGTTCAATGTTTGATAGAGAGCAAATCATATGCAATTCAAAAAAGAAAAAGAAGATTTTATGGATTAGTAAGTTTGTTAAGTTGAAATAGCGACACTCACCGATGATCTACTCACTTGCATAAACGCATAAACACCACGTAAAAACTCCATGTTAGGCTGCTGCTCTCTAGATCCTTTGGTAGTGCGCTGGGCCCGACTGATATACTGTTTGACAGTGTCAGCAACTATATGAGGCTTGAGTTTTTTTGATAATCTGCGAATGAAAAATATATTTTGTAGATGAGTTTCGAAAGCTCCGCATCAATTTTTGTTGAGTTTAAAATAAGCAATTTTTTTGAAAAAAAAAAAATTTAATGTATAATAAATGCTTGATTAGCTCCACGTCACTGAATGTCGCCGTAGATCTTGTACATTTCATTCAAATCATATCTTGCGAAAACACTTTTATTAAACACGCTTTTGTTTCAATCCAACTCTTGCTGGCTTATCTCTTGTTACTCTTGCTTGATGGTTTACTGATAAGTACCAAACCCTACATTGAGGGAAACTATTTGTTTATTTGCAAATATTTTCTACGCTGCTCGGTTTCCATTTTGCTTTTCTGGTTTACTAAATTAGTTAATAAATGCCAGGTGAAATTATATATCTTACATAGACTAACATATGTACATACAAATATGTACGTATGTAATTTCACTGTTTGCCATATAGTTTATTTAAATGCCACAGACCGTGTAGTGCATTTGATTTAATGAGCGTGTGAGAGCTTAAGCAGAAAATTAGCACCTGAATACAATTGTTGGCTTGTTGTGACCGTTTTTCTACTCACACGAATAATGCTTTACAGTCCCCTCATTCACAAAAGGCGCAAAAGTGTGTCTGTCACTTAATGAAAACAAAGTGCTGCAAACATACGTGTATCCTTCGAAATAGGCAAGTGTGTAGATGTGAGCATACATGCACATACGACTATATTTTTGCGTAGATGTACGCACAAAGCATCTGCGAAACTTAAAGCACTCATAAAAGGATGTTTGTGATTATGGTTAACAAATTGTTAAAAATAACGCTTAACAAAAGAGCAAACATACCGCCAAATTAAGTTGACTTTTTCATGAACTAAATGAGGGTATTCGCCTGCAAAACATTTATGTATTGTGTATATAATATATTTAAACAGGAATAACACAAATTGCAGCATAAATGATATGTTGCCTTGTCTTCAAATTTTTATATCATTAAAGCAGCAAAAAATTACAGTTACACAAGGAAAAACAAGTGGAAATTTAAGTTCATGAACATTTTGCTGGTTGTTCGTGGTCTCAAATATTAACATGACAATTTTATTTTGATTAGACGGAATGAAAGGAAAATACATTTTTTATTGTTATTACAATTTTTAACCAAGGCGGAATTAAAAGCTTTATTTTCTCAACACTGTCAAATCTTCTTCTTAGTGCACTGAAAGACCAATAGTATTGTGGTAAGCAAGACATGTAATAAGCTAGTTTATAGTATTTATTTCGTTTAATATCTTAAACATTTCTAAACATTTGTTTATTTGACCTTGTTGAAGTTTTCAATAATATTGCATCGGCCTATAAAACAAATCAACTGATATCACTAACTATGCCGTTAGCCTCATTTCCAAGCCTTAAAATAAGTATTTCGATTTGGAATTTTACTTATCAGAATGAGTCTTAGAGACCCTGAAGTAAATTATTTAATTTCATATTTTATGTCTGGTATCATCTAAGAAAGTTTCACGCAGTTTCTTCTTCTTTACTGGGACAAACCCCGCTTATGTTTAAATTATAAAAATATTAAAATCTTTAAATCGATTATGACAGCGTAAGCACCGAAATGATAGTCAAAGCGTAGCCACCTCTTTCAAAATCTTGAGAGTGTAATCAAAAATAAAAACTTAGACTTATTGTTGTCTGGTTAAGAAGAGTTGTCAATTTAATTTAAAATTTGAGAGTCTCTAAAATCCTTTTAATTATATTGGCTAGATTACGGCAACGTTTCTGAAATAAGCAACAGCGCTATGTCAGCGGAAATTGAACGTTCTGGCAATTTAGAGCATTAAATTCCTTGTAAAAAAGAAAGTACACCGAAAGAAATTTTTAAAGATTTGTCATCGATTCTTCAGGACTCTGCCCCTTCATATACGATGGTGAGAACAAATGAGCTCGGCTATTTCAAGAAGGAAGATAGACCTGTGAAGACGACCACCGCCCGGAGTGCTCACTGACGGTCATGACCGAAGAAAATGTTCAGGAAATCGAAAAACTAGCACTGGCTGATCGAATAATTAAATTGTGGCAGATAACAGATGGAATAGAGATGAGCAAAGAATGAGCCAAGATGATTTGGATGGAATTATGCAACCGCATTGTACCAGTTGATGAAACTTGGAGTTTAAGTAGTGAACAAAAAAGGGGAAAGGCCACCAAAAATATTCAAAATGGAAAAGTCGGCGTCGAAGAACATGGCTACTATTTTCTGTGATAGCGAAGGAATATTATTAGTTTATTACTTTCCAAAGCGACCTAAAATAAATGGCCAGTAACTAAGCATGTTTGCTCAAAAATGTTTGATCTTGCCACTTATAAAATATTCAGCTTGGAGATTTTTTAGTCTAGTCTTAGGAGAATATGAAGTGGAAAAATATGCTCTTTATTTTAATTGAAATGTAATAAGCTGACCTATTTTAATTTCTGAAACAACTTTTCTACCATTGCCCAGCTCTCAATGCTTTCCGTTATTGACATTTCGGAAATTTCTTCTCTAATTGCTTCTTGGCATCATTAATCTCCTGAATTTCGTAAAATAAATCAAGTGGTTAGAGTATCTGGAAAAGTGAGAGGAATCTTCTTCACAGAACCAATATTAGTATCATTAATTAATATCATTATTGATCGGGCAATTAACGGAGTCGATTTCCAAATATTAGTATGTTTTGGCGGTTAGATTGAGTTCAAAAGTGTTTGGAAATTTAATCGACTTTAGCGATCTTAGCGTAAGAGATTTTCACAATGAATTTACACTACTCTAATAAACCCCACAAAAATAATGAAAACAATATAATGCCTGCTTACAAACGTCTCTAAAATTGTGAGACTAACTTGCATTCAAACGTAGATATGGAAAATCAATTCAGCTCCTCATCTTCTTGAATTCTATTTAGATTTTGGTGGGCGAATCTCTTCCCTTTCTGATACTTTCCTACAATTTTCTAAAGTTGTTACTTAACATTAATGAGAGGCATCTATGCATCTATGAAGTTCATTATCAAGGGCTGCAAAATAAAAACCGAAAGGAAACACGTTTAATGGAAGGTGTCCCAACAAATAGGGGGACCTACAGATTATTCTAAGTTGCCTCCAAACGGCGGATGGAGTTTTCATTTCATGTCACAGGGATACTCGCAAGGGTTGATATTCCCTGCCGTTTGTCGACCACAATTCGCAAAATTATTTTCATTCATTTTGATTTTGGTCGGATCAGGACTCGAAACATAGCATTCCGTAAGACAATACGCAGTGCTAATCAATTGGTTATGGCGGTCGCGGCATACAATTGTCTTTTCGTTGAACACGACATTCAACTAACGAGACTGTTTACTTAGCAGTTGGTGACCCATTTATGCCTCAAACGACAATTGCTCTTTGTACGACATTTTCTTATGATATTTATTTTACCCAAAGTAACTAAAATTTTCTTGAGTTCACCTTTTAAAATTTTGTAGTCAGACTGATTTTTCGTTTTATTTCAGTTTGTATGCTTTATTTTAAATGGCATGTTTTTGGGCTTGACTGTCATATCGTGATCACATTCAACTGCTCCTATGGCATTAATTTGCCGTTGCGCTGGCATAAATATTTCACCTTCGTCTTCCATCTCTACTATACATACATTCTGGGCATATTCCCGTTCTGCGCCAACTTATGTTGTTTTGTCGTTTCACAGAGGAAACTTTGCTATCGCGGATGTTCACGACAGCAAAATAAATTGGGTTCTTTCTCTCTTTACATTTTATTTTGTGAATTTCGTTCTTGCCTTCTCCGTTAAAGCTCCTTTCTTTTATTTATTAAATTCGATTTATTAAATGAACGAAATGAGGGTATTTGATTTGTAAATGACATTCGGCGTTCGCCCCGCGAAGACTTTGTTCTCTAGGAAAATTTCATATTGATTTTTTATTTGAAAGAAAATTTAATACTTTTGTCTGTTTGGCAATTTACTTACAAACAAAGAGAAAATTGTATCTTAACTTACTACATTGGAGGAGAAATTCGTGCATATCTAGATATTAGTGATAGCTGAAGCTTTAAGTTTTATAAAAAGGAAATCAACGAAAGCCTCTAAAGAATTTAAGACAAATATTTATTATAAGCAAAAGTTGGTTTTTCATCTTTAAATACTTTTATCTACTTCGGGTATAATAAAAACTATATCTCACCATAAAAGTTTTGAAGACCTAAGTTGCGGCAAAACAACTAATGAATTTCGAAAAACTTATTTTTCATTACAAAATTAGCTAGACATATGGAAACTGTTTTTTTTTTCTTAAAATTATAGGACACCGCGCGATTTGTGTAGATTGTAAATACTTTTTATTCAAATAGCCCTCCAACTTATGTGATATACATTTGAATAAAAGTTCCCGATCAATTATTGTTGCTAATTTTTCTCATTTTCCATAAATTACTACCTTGATCTATATAATTATTTGCTTTGTTGAAATTGTCAATTGGAATTCCTTCGATTATTCCAAATGTTAATAACTTACATATTATGTGTACTTATATTCAAAGAATGTTCTTCACATTAATTCGGTACTTTCTTGCCTTTTTCCATGAAATCTGTAATCCTTTGATAGTAAAAAGTCGAGCCTGCCCATTTTTCCATATATAAATTTATGTTCGCAAACTTTTGACTCAAAATCTGATTTCCTTAACTAAGCGGATGTATAAAAAACAAGTACCGAAATAGTTCCAACAGGGTATTCCAAATTTAATGCAAGTTTTGAATTAAATTGAAAACACAGTTTTGGTATTCAGATTTTTTTAATTGAATCAGACGATATTTAGAATAGATTTGTTATTGGAATCGGCCATAAGAGCTCCACGTTTTGCGAAATATATTGCTATAATTTAATTTAGAACCACATGTCGCATATTTAAATACCATTCAACTGACGAAGAACGAAGTGTGTTGTCATATCGTGATATCAAGCAAGAGAACAGC